CAATGATGACTCCAAGATCCCTTTCTGCCTCCGTGCTCTCAAGAAGGGAGTTTCCCATCTTATAAGTGTGCTGCTGGTTACTACTGCCCAGGTGCAGCACCCTGCTCTTGTCCGTATTGAAACTCATCTTGTTTTTGTTAGCCCACCCTTGTAACCTATCCAGGTCTTTCTGCAGTCTTTCCCTGCCTACTAGCATGCCTACCTCACCTCAAATTTTGGTATCATCAGCAAATTTGAACAGGTTGCTTTTCACCCCATTGTCCAAATCGCTGATAAAGAAATCGAACAGTGCGGGCCCAAGGACCGAGCCCTGGGGGACTCTGCTGCCCACTTCCCCCCAGGTCGAATATGACCCGTCCACCACCACCCTCTGAGTACGACCCTTCAGCCAATTAGCAATCCATCTGACTGTGTAGGCATTGATGCTAGTCACCTAGTTTTTTAATGAGGATGAGGTGGTCAATAGTGTCAAAGGCCTTGCTGAAGTCCAGAAAGACTACATCCACGGCGACACCTGCATCCAATGCTTTTGTGACCTGATCGTAAAAGGCAATCAGGTTGGTCTGACATGACCTGCCCCTAATGAAACCGTGCTGGTTGCCCATCAATTTAATCAATTTTAAACACTGTCCTTCAGTAAAACCTCAGCTAGAGTACATTTTCTTGTTAAAAGCAGACTAATATCAGTTCTTAGGTTTTTGGGTTTTTTTTGTTTTTTTAAAGACAGGAAATATAGCTTAATTCTCTCTCTGGTGTTAAGGATAAGGACCAAATTCCACTCCTACATTTATGCAGCTCCATTGCTTCATATTAAAGTGTTATACAGTGAGGTATTCTTGGTGCACCATTATTTGTTCCATTGTGTCACTATAACTTCATACAGTGAAGCTTTGTAGAAGCTATCTGTTGAATTCACTCTCCAGTTACTTTGACTTTCATACAATCTAGATAATCTTCTAAAATGCTTTCTATGTTCATTGATGCATCTTGCTTCTTGGTGCCAAATGCTGGCCTTTTACTGCATTCTCTGCCTTTGAAAACTTAGCCTATTTCCACATACCGAATTACACACTATCTAAAAACTTACTGCACTTTATGAGGTCTTAAACTCTAAAACAAACTTCTACCCAGTCCTGGTATAAAGGCTTCATAATCTCTACTGAGCCATAGCAAAAAATGAAATGGGGGAGAGGGAAATGTAAATTCTATTGGAGAAGGATTGTGATGACTTCCTTGTTTGAAGATAGCAGTAAAAGAGGTGTATGCTCCTGTAGTTTATAGCTAAATGACATAGATTCAAGTGTTTTAAGGTCACTGAAATAAAATTGTTTTAACCAGGACTAAATGATTGAATGCCACATTTGTAACTGCTGTACAATAGGTGGCACACCCACCTGTGGACAGTTATCAATTTAACATTTTATGTTTATTTTAGTAACTCAGTTTCTTTTTCTAGAAAAGCCAGTATCACTGTTTTTTTATGAAGCGAGCCAAACAAGAGAGTGAAGAGGAGGTACTCTGCTCTGCATGGTTCTGTTCATTATAGTCTGGGTTAGGTAGTTATTTTTGACATGCAAAAGAATATATTCATTATGACCTCTTTCTTGAATACACTTTACTAAATGAATTGTGTTTTCCTTTCTAATATTAACTCTGAATTCTAACAGTATGCTGTCTCATAATCAAACAGGTGGTAAAAGTTAACAGTAAAATGAATATTTTTGTCTCTTCAGAGTGAGATTCACTTTGCTGATCAGTAATCATTGCATTTCTATGCTTGAACAAGCACTCTGCCCAACAGGACTTCAGCTCAACTGGAACTTTTTAGTGTGTAAATATTTATAGCTGCTAAAATCAATCCTGACCCAGGGCCCAGAGTGCAGTGTCATCTCTTACTGCCACTTGGGCAGCCTGTTAAGATCTTTTTGATTTGACTAGCTGCACATACTGATGCCTTATGTGAAAATTCACTCTGCACTAGATGATATGAGTCTGGGCCAGAAACACTACTGCTCCCTCACTGCTGTGAAAAGATAAAGGAGTCTCCCTTTACAGGAGTTTGGTTATGGCATTTTCCCCAGGATGAATCCAACACTAGTCTAGTTCCCTTTTTGCATCCATGCAACCTGCCTGCCTTCAGTGGAGCTGCATGCATTTAATAAGAGACATGTCTGATGCATGTGACTACATCTTCCCAAGTTATTACTAATTTCATAGGCTCTCCTGTGCTAACTTGTTTGTCAGGACAAGATTCAATGCGAATGCATATTCTCTGTCTGCAATAATCTGGAAAGCTGTCCACAGACAGTGTATTCAGGAATTGGTTTCTTGTCCTAATCTTACCTGGCATTTTTCTGTAGAAGCTACTGCAGTAGGCGTAGAGTTCTCTTCAGCATAAAGCTCATGTATGGCAGCACCTGTGTAGATAAGATTCCTTTTGGATAGAGACAGCACAATAGGCTGCCCTTCACAAGTCACATCCTCTGAGAGCTGCTCTAATTAAAGCGCCTTGAGCGTCTTGTGTATCAGCATCCTTGCACTTCAAAATGGTAGCAATTTAGCTAAAATGATTTAACTAAAGCTCATCGAATGAGATTCAGTTAAAGTGCCCCTGCCACCATTTTGAACTGCACGCTGGTATGTGAGACACTGGAGGCTGCTGCAGCGCGGTAATTACTAAACTCCAGCAGACTCAATTTCATAGCTTTAATAGACATTAGGGGCTGGAAGGGACCTCGTGAGATCATCAAGTCCAGCCCCCCCACCATAGGCAAGAAGTCAGCTGGGATCAAGTGACCCCAGCAAGAAAAATATCCAGACATTTTTGAAAGGGTCCAGAGTAGCTGCTTGCACCACCTCTGAAGGGAGTCTGCTCCAGACCCTGGACACATGCACTGTAAAGGACTTTTTCTTACGTCTAGTCTAAATCGGCCTTCCTGGAATTTGTGGCCCTTAGACCTTGTTATCCCTTGGAGAGCTCTGGTGAACAGCTCTTCTCCCAGGTCCTGATGTACCCCTCTTATATAATTGTAGGCTGCTACCAAGTCACTCCTGACCCTTCTCTTTTCCAGACTCAAGAGTCCCAAATCCCTCAGCTTCTCCTCGTACGACCTGCCTGCCCTCAAGGCATTGGATCATATGAGTGACTCCTCTCTGGACTCTCTCAAGCTTTTCCACATCCCTCCTGAAGTGGGGGGCCCAAAACTGGACACAGTACTCCAGCTGCTGCCTCACCCAGGCCAAGTAAAGTGGGAGGATGACGTCCCTGGTTTTGCTTGAGATGCATCATGGATGCACGCCAGAGTTTGCTTTGCCGGCCACAGCATCACATTGGTGACTCATACTCATCTTGTGGTCAATCATGACTCCAAGTTTAATATCCTATATTTTGCAGGAAAAATAAGTAAGATACCTAACTAAATATTTGTTAGGTGATCATTTTAATTTGCTTTTTTCTTTAATGTTCAATTCTGTCATTTTATTCCTGCACAGTTGTACTCTAACAACAAGAAGACATACTGTTTGGAAATTAAAATAGGATTATATTTCAAAGTGAATGCCTTTCTTATAGATTTATTTTCTTGCAATAAACCAGTATTGTTGTGAATACCTTTTTCATTCATGTGAATTTTTATATCCAGTGTTATGAACAAGGCTGCAGACAAGTTACTTGAAGAAATGTGATAGGTTTGAGTATTCCACCAAAACTATGTCCTCATCTTCAAATAAAACCCACCTCAAGCCCCTAATATGCAAGCTTTTTTACTATTATATGCTTGTAGTGCATATATGTTTGGTGCTATTTGCTGGTAACTTTCTCATCCATAAAAGAACACAGTTTCCACAATTTCCTTTACTTGCAAAACAGCATGAGGTGACCTAGGAAAACAGATGATCAATACTGTAAATAGATTCATCCTTCACTGTCTTGTCTCTGAAATGTTTTGGGTTTTGTACACTTATTGTACTTTCAAGTCCCATTTGATATTTTGATTCCTCACTTTTCTCTTCCTCTCCTCCTCCCAAACCAGTAGGCTGGACAATCCTCTCTTCTCTGCTTGTTGGCTTTGAGAACAGAGACTGTATTACCTATTCATTTCTGTCTTTGATTCAGTTGTTCAGCTGCCTCCCAGATGCTGCTACACACAGAAAGAAAAAAACGGTAATCCAACCCAGCTTTCCCAAAGTCCGGAACAATACCAAGACTGTCTGAAGTTAAGTAATTTATATATAATCCTTTACAAACAAAAGTATTTAACATTAGGTCCATAAAAAGAGTGGTTCCTTCCAAATACAAACTTGGTGGCACAGGCTTTGTAGAAGCTTCCCTGGAATAAACTGTCTGACCTAAAGACAAACAAAACCAAAGCAACTTAGCACTCTGAAGAGCTGATCAACTTCCTTTATAGGGGGAGTGTTTTTCACTAAATCAAATTATGACTATAGGTTTCTTCTCTATCCCCAACTCCAGAGTTCTCAGTATGGAAGCCTCTCAGATAATCTGAAGTAAACTCAGTACAAATCCCAGATGAGCATGGTGGTGCTCTTTATAAACAGCAGGCAGGGAAGTTGAATCTTTCCAACAGCATCAACCCAACTGGCTTATGGGTTTGCCTGTCTCCTGGAACCTGCAGTTCTATATTCTCTAAGAGCTGGGACCTTGTTCTGAAGAAGTTTTTGAAAGCCTCATGCAGAGGTTGAAAACCGATCAAATCCAGACAGAGCTAATGAGCAGAACACTTCCCAAATTTTACTTGCAACCAAAATTCTTCAGGGATGTGACAAGGCAGTTTAAATGGCTGGATGAAGATGACTCACAGCAGCAATAAAAGAGTCAAGGAAATACATTTTTGCAAATATACGCATTTCCATTTATTGGAGGAACCCATGTAGAACAATCTTTATAAAAGAGATTTTTTATACAAAAAGCCGACCAAAAATAGTGTCAGTATTATCTTGCTTCTAAGCTGTTTCATTCATGCTGCCCACATAAGCCTGGTTGTTCTTTTTTGCCAGACACCATTTCTCACATTTGTACTGATACTAATTAAAAACATGAAGGGCTTTAAAAGATGGTTTCTATTTTGTACACCTGGAATTGCATACAGCAAACAATTCTGATGTAAATCTTACAATATTACCTACTATAAAGATATTTACATTTTTCCATTCCATGTTTTTACTTCACTGTATAAAATAGTATCCTCATGCTTTGAAGCATTGAAGTTACAGTCCATTTTTCAATATAATGATTTCCAGTACTGGAAAAAGGTGCATATTTTATATAGGCAGGTGAAAAAGCAAAAGTTTATACATCTACAGGGACATTAATAATACATTAAGCCTTCTCACCAAATAACACAATACTGGAAGCCGTTTTACAATGTTAAGGGGAAAATGCAAATAACTAGTTACAACTTAGCTGTGCATAGGTTTTTTTTTAAAAAACAAACTTAGTAACCAGAACCCCTCCAAACTCTCTCATCAAGCATGGTAGACAGTGGGACAGCACACATATCAGTGGGATATGATTTTGTCACACACTTAAATGCAACTATTTTTCTCCTGAAACAAAACTGTTAAATAACTGTAGAACATATTATTAATTATTCTGAAAATAGAATTATTTTCTCAAATTATTCTGAAAATAGTACAAATTGAAGGATGAGTTAAGTGCATATGTTGTTCCTTTCCCTCCAGTGTGGCCTAAAGGAGAGGGAAAGGAAAGTTCAACAAATTGACTGAAATAAACCTGAGTCCTCATAGAATACTCCTCTGGAGAAAAGGTTTGGAGGAGTCAAGAGTCTGGAGGGAGAGGGGCACAGGGGACCAAGGATATGAAAGAGCACTCTTCAAAGTCTGTAAGTTGTAGTATTGGTGGGTAAAAGAAAGGTCTCTCTGATAATAGCTGGTCCTGTTCTTGTACTTTAGAAGTTGCTCTGCCACTGACTTTTGGGTAACACTTCTTGCGACCACCTGCAGGCAAGTGTCAAATTAATGCTTCCACTCCATGTAATTATCCTCCCAGTTGTGAGACTGTATCACGTGGTGCAGCTGCTTCCCAGCCCTGTCATTTGACTCTCTTCTGGAGTTCCAGATCTTGCAGACATGGGGAACAAGGCTTTCTAATAACTCAGAGAAGCAGGCTAGAGCCTCTACTTTTCATTTTTGCTATACCCCATGCTCAGTTCCCCAGGCTTCTTCTCAGACTTGCCACTGTTAGCTTGAAGCTCTCCTTTGCTAATTTATAATTTGCATTTCCAATGTCACCAGCACCTGGTTTCTAGAGAACCAAAGACCTTCACAATGGATATTTCCTCCACTAATCCAGTTCCTCTGCACTCACGAGACCATTACAGTGAGAGAAAGGCAATCATTTTGAATTTAGTGTCACAATCTATTTCTAGATGAAATGTTCAAGTTCTCATCTGTTCTCAGAAAACTGAGTGGGGAACAGCTTGAGTTTATGATCTGAAAGTCTATTTTCAGACAGGAGTATGTACTTAGAATGTGTGAAGACTTCATTCTGCATGTTTACCACAAACCCAGTGAAGTTGCCGGTCTGTTTGGAGATCGGTTAACTCGTCAATGGACCTCCAGCTGCACTGGCAAGCATAAGCTCGGGATCCTTTCTTTTTGATCATCTTCACTCTTAACTTGCTGAGCTCAGGCATATTATTCCTAACAAGTGCGTAAGTCCATGTTAGAATCATGCAACTTTTTTTTAAGCATAAGATACATAATGCCTGGAGATAACCTTTGATATGGATATAATCACTCCGCTTCCACAGGACTGATGTGCGATTCTGAGAAAAGGATTAAGCCCACAGCATTCTGCTGAAACCACTTTGAACAGACTACCTTTTGTAAAGATACCTGATTAATATTTTTTGCTTTAAACCTCCTCCCCACAGGGTTTTTCTTATAATAGATGCAGTTGTAACGCAACAGCTGCAGCTCCCTGTTGCTTCTATAACAGTGTGCATCTGTGCAGGAAATGTCCAGGGGGAACAGCAACGACTACTGCTCTAAATTCTCTCAACCATGTTCCGTGCATCCACCTGGCCTCTTCATACCCACAGAACCCCAAGATCCCCCCACATCTCATTCTTTCACTGTCATGAGTTTTTTAGTAACAAAATACATATAGTTTAAGAACATATAGCATGTACAGACCTTCACTCTCCCAAGAGAAACTCTTCTTCGAGTGATTTAACCATGGTTGTTCCCAGATTATTTTTCTCTTGGAGCAGCCATTTTTTCTCTGGAAGAAAAAGCCTGAACATCTGTACACTCATTGGGCGCCTATACATGAGCAGCGAGGCTGCTCTGATGTGCTGTAATTACAGTGTTAACTCGATTAATTGAGTCTGCTGGAGCCTGCTGGAGGATGGTAATTACTGCACTCCAGTAGACTCCAGTGTCTTGTGTATTAGCATTCCTGCACTGAAAAATGGAGGCAGGGGGGTTTTAAAGCTCATCGAACAAGCAGTGGCTCTCCCAGGAGAAACTGAATGTCTGTATAAGCAGAAATTGGGTCATTTCAGCTGTATATGCTGGAGCAATAGCTAAAAATCCTGAGGAGGACCAGCAGCACACAGGCCCTTCCATTAAAAGCAGTCCTGCTGCCCTCAAAACCAATTCCCTGATCAGTAATGGACTACTGCAGTGCACGTACTGTCATTGTGGAATCTGTGTAAATACAAAGTCTGTTTAAAAAAGGGCATCATCAACAAGTACTGAATGAAGCTAGTTAGCAGGCCAGTATACTTTAATTTTAAATTTTAAAACATCATCCTCAAGGTAAGTGGTATGCTTTTTATATTGCAATAGCACCCCTGATTTAACAAGGAGGGCTACAGGCTTAGATGGCTGCAGGCTGGTCTGAAATTTATCACTAGATAAAGTGTTAAAGAGTGATGCAAAAAAAAAAAAATAAAAAAAATTCAAGAATGAAAAGTATTTTGAGCCAGAACTCCTTCTACTCTACTGTTTTTAATGATCCACTGTACAATTACTGTGGTAACTATGATAAAAAAACTATGGGGTCCCTCCTGTTGTGAATCTATGAAGGTCTGAGGATAGAGATACTGTAGAAGCTTGGGGAGGGTAGAGAGACAGATACTCTCCACACACCATCCCTCCAGAAATCTGCAAGCAATATAAAACTGATATATATTTGTGACTGGGGCAGTACCAGCTTGTTCTCTGTCCTTCATATAAATTCCTCAACATCAGGAGATTATGGATCAGCAATCAGAGTGCAACTAAAGCACAATAGTCATTCTCCCACGTAGTCCAAGAGTTATGCTGTAGCACATGACATAAGTCAATATGAATCCCCCAATCACAAGTATACAGGGTGTTTCAATGGGGTTTATTCATGCATGTAGTGCTCCCTTGAGTAGAATGCTTTCCCAAGTGAGATTCTTGGGGCAGAGTCCCTGGGCCCTGTCACATGTTCACTGCAACAGTTGCAAATTACTGGAATTCTGTGCTGCATTAAAATTATTCGGGGTGGGTTAGTGGGGGGAGTTGGGGTTGGAATAACAGGTTCACTGCAACAGTTACAAAGCATTGGAATGTTGTGCTTCATTATAAAGTTGCATGCATTTACGGTGGTAGCCATTGTTTTAAATCACTGGAATGCAGTTACTGATTATTGGAATGGAGTGACCTATTAAAGGTAGTATGTGTTACGAGACAACCCTTGACTGAAAGGGAACAACTGCAACATGGATGTCACTTTACACATACTAAACAGCTTCCACCTGTATCTGCTTGCATTTTAACTGCACTTCATGAGTGTTACATTGAACATGTGACATCATCTCTTGTCTTCTGCAAGTCTGTTAAAACCTTAATTTTTTGTACATCATAATCCTGCCAGTTCTGCAGGAGGTCCCAACTCCCCCTTTCAAAGATGCAATGAGGGAGACATATTCAAGAATTATGTAACAGTTCTTCTTGGGAATCATCCATAAAGGTACTGATCTTTTCTATAGGGTATATTCTAAGTATTCATTTTGTTTAGGTTAATACAATGATTAGCTTAAACTGGATCAACTGTATAATAAAATGAGTCCCTATATAAAGTCAAATTCAACTGTAAAGAAAACCTATCCAAGTTAGCCTGTGTGGGATCTGCAATGGAAGATGATGAGGGGAGAGATCATATCACACAGTACAGACTGACAGAAAACAGGAGGAACATGTAGCAAATCACAAATGACACTTCATTTAAAATCCATCAGTGCAGAGAAGCAGAAATAACCAGTGTAAAAGTTAATTTAAAACTTGTTTAAAACAGGGGGTAATGTTACAACCACTGCTGATTGTTTTTAGCCTGATCTTGCTAAATACACCAAGACATCACTGGCCGCCCCCATAAATGTTCAAATATTACACTCTTACTATGAATTAAAAATTCTTCATAGAAATCAATAAGAATTAGAAAGACTGGTAACAGATGCTAGTTTATTTATTCTTTTAATCCCCTAATTTGTTTTAAATCCAGATTAACCTAAATTAAAATAACTGAAAATCCTGTTATAGATTATACACTGTAATCAAGATAATTACTTGATAACAATGCCTTTCACTTTATTTAATTAAACTAATTACTAATCAAGTGAAGAACATATGTTAATACACAGACAACATATACAGCCACTTCAGAAAACTGTCAGTCCAGAGTGTTTTTTACTAATTTGCATTACTGAGAAAAGCAGGAATCTCTCTTTAAGAGACATTCATATTCTTGATCAGAAAGAAAACAAGAGAAGGCCTACAACAAACAGTATGAGAAAGATTATATAAAACAAGATGACCCAGTAACATATTTTTATGACTACAGTGAACTGTTTAGTGTTCTATGCAAGCTATAGCACACCCTCTACTGGTCACACAATCTGAACATCCACTTAACTTGATCCACATACCACAATAAAAGAGATTTTATCAAAACAAATGAAATGCTCTATACCTAAATTCAATGTATAAAGTAAAATAAAACCTCTGTTGGTAGATATAATCCAACAGAGAATTTAGAAACAGAAAATGTCTAACGGGTAAATTCAGACTTCACACTTCTTTGAAAAACAAAATAGAACAATTTTAATCAAGAAAGCAAAATCTCCTTTCAAAATGGCTAGTCCAAATTCTTCCCTATGGAGAACTTCTGGCAATTTGATGGGCTTCATTTAAAAAAAAAAACAAATCAATTTAAAGTTAAACTATTAGTATCTCACCGAATATCTTTTGTAGACTGCACAATCACAATTAGAGTGGAGGAAAAAAAACCTGACAGAAGTAATGACAGTCTGTGACAATAAGGGAATAAGAATATTCATTAATGAATTAGACATACTGCAGAAGAACAGCAGGGACCATATTTCTTCATTAGTAAAAAAAGTAGCCATTGCTTTATATGAAGTACCATTTATTGATGCCAGCAGTAAATATGGCTGGACTTGTACAGTTCACATTTCTGATAAGCATATTAACCCCAAAGTACTAATTACAAACCCACCTGAGACATACCTGAAAAACAGGTAATCACATGACTTATCCCAAAGGTAATCATCATAGTGTGCTACACAGAAGTCACAGGCAGTACAACGTAGCTGATCACATGTTCTGTTCAAAACAAGAGAGTCAAATGTCAGTACTGTTACACACAAAAAGCTACATAAAAAGAATATTAATATTTCAAAATTAAGGACTTAAAAATTAGGAAAATGCCAGAATTTAGGTTGCCTGTTCAACATTTATTTGTGCCCCTTATGCATATGCTTTATGACATGTGCTTTAATTGACTACATGCACTTTAAAAGGATTCCTAACTCATTCAGTAAATAAGACTTTTTTTTTTATATAGTTAGCATTACATTTTATTCTCTTCATTCAGCATACTGCCATACCTTATTTGCTCCTCATCATTCCACTCTGCACTGAATACAGAAATGTAATTTTCCTTATAGGCCATTTTATGGCAAACATCACTTTCTATGGCATCTAGAGGCTTTACAAATGTAAATTAATTATTTTGACAACAATCTTGTGAAGTGTAGCACAGAGGAGTGAAGCTACAATGATCACTCGCATTCATTAATTTTAAGTAACCAGTATGAGACATCTAGGATCTGGTTTCAGATTAAACAGAGACAGTATTATAAAATGTATTAAACATAAAATAGGTAAAAAATAAAATTACAAATGTACTTATAAAAATGTGCATTAAAAATGTGCGGCTGCTCTGTTTGATTTGTTACAGCACTGGTTGCTCAGCACTGCTATAAGACAGTCACCTAATTAATGCAGAACATGCATGGTTGCCTGTGAAAATATTAAAGTGATTTGCTCAGTACCACATAGGGATACTGTGACAGAGCAGTGACAGAATCCAATATTTCAGGGTAGTATTCAATTTCTTTAAACATGAGACCATGCTTTCACGTTTAGCACTCCTTTGCCTCATTCACTAAACACCTTCTAACTTCTGCAACAAATGAGGCAAGTAACCAACAGACACCAACTTAATTACTACATGACTCTGATCCCTAGAGCATCATCCATCCTTGTTCACTGTAGGAGAAAGGCATTTTGTAGAAAATACAGCATGTGCTCCTGTGCTTAGACTACCTCATAATGAACATACCAGTTGGGACCAATATAAGGTTGCATAAGTAACCCTGCTTTTTACATTTTCCAAACTGCATGCTTTGGCTTTACAACTTCTGTGTTTTTTTAATGGAATTATTTTGCATGTAATTTTCTAGGTTTTTAAAAAGTAAACAATACTCCCCCCCACCCACAAGTTTCAGCACATGAAGCAATTCTGACTTCCATGTCAATAACCAGCAAGGCTAGAACTTTTAGACACGCAGCATGGAGCTGCTCACTTTGCACTAATAGAATAACTGGTGGTAATAACAAGTTTAAGCAGTTATCTTTCCGTATCAACCAATCAGACGTGGTTAAAGTACGTACTTTCTCAGTGGGTTTCACAAATATTTGCTAACAGTGGACATTTATTAGGACTTGCTACTGATTTTGTGAGGAAATGAAGCCAGGTTAACAGCTGGGAGGCACCTGTACCAACAATGCTCCCAGACAGTGGGGGACAAATTGGAGAGAGTCCAAAGGAAAGCAACAACATTTTCAGGGGTATTGGGAAACATGGCAGATAAGGAAAGGGTGGAAGACCTGAGCTTAAACTGCAGCACAGGAGACTTAGGTTAGATATGAGGAAGAATTTTCTAATTCTGATGGTTAAGCAGTGGAACAGACTGCCTAACAAGATGTGGAAGCACCATCATTGGAAGTTTTAAAGTAAAAATAAGACAAGCATTTGTCTAGGATGGTATAGACATGAGTGACCCAGTCTTTAACAGGAGGCTGAAATAGGTGAGCTCTTGAGGTTCCTATTGGATATTTTTCTATGATTCTGACTCAGGAATCTGGGCTCTGGAGGACCATGTTCTTTAGTGGCTGGTTACAAAGTTTGGTTTGTTTTTTATTAACCTTTCATTGGAATGATTAATCATCATTCTGGAGCAAAACGTCTTCACAGATTCTACACCTTCACTCCTTCAATTAAGACATTAGAGTATAAAATAAACAGTCCTGAGGTGCCCAGAGCTCCTCTAGTAAAACAAGAGAAAACTAGCTTTGACATCTAAGAGTGAAAAACAAAGGACAACTTTCAAACTCTTTAAGGCCTTCTTTATACATCATCAAGAACCAAAGGGCATATAAACCAGAGTTTAAAAAAAGTCCTTTAGAGCTCCACTTAAAGTTCAGTGAAATTGCAATCTGCTGATTTTTAAGAGGTAAGTAGGGGAAAATGCAGTGTATGATCTCCTAAAGGTTTTCAGGAAATTATTTGGATTCAGAATTGTGAGGTTGGAAGTGACCTCAAGGGTCATCTTATCTAAGCCCCTGCACAAATGCAGGATGTGCTATTCCTCTATTATCCCAGACAAAGGGCTATCTAGCCTTTTCTTCAATAAAGGTGCTACCATAACTTCCCTGGGCAGCTTGTTCCACTGCCCTACTGTTTTGATAGCAAGGATATTTTTCCTCCTTTTCAATCTAAATCTGCTTTGGTGAAGTTTAAACCCATTGCTTCATGTCCTGTCCTCTCTGTCAAGGGAGAATATTTGAAATATCTGAAAACTGCGATCATGTCTCTCCTTAATCTCCTTTTTGCCAAACTCTTCTTTCTACCTTTACTCTTACAGATTGTGTTCTAACCCTTATTTTGTTGCTTGCCTCTGGAGCCTCTCCAGTTTCTTCACATCCTTTTTAAACTCTAGAACTCAGAATGGTACACAATACCTAAGTGAGGCCTAACCAGCATTTATTACATATAAAAGTTTCTGGCTAAAGTTTTCAAAATAAGTTAGCCTAAAGTTGGTGCCTAAATATGAATTTTAGAGCATTTATATTTCTTGCTTAAAAATTAGAATAGAATGGCATCCCTAGGAACTATGGAAACTTCCCTGTAAACCAGGTAACTTCTACTTAGGGTCTGAAACATGGTTTTGACAGTATAACTGAGAACAAACTTGAAATGCTGTCTTTAATTTAAGGACCAGTTACTTTACCTATTCAACTCAAAAGGAATTTGACCAGCTACCAGAAAGAACAAGATCAAGTCATAAAACTTTACGCTTGCCATAAACACGTGTACAATATGGAAATTGTTTTAATTATTTCTACACAAATCTTCAGACTTATTCAAGTTATAATTACCATGCTGCATACAATTAAACCTAGATCATTTCTACCTGGGTGGTTTGCAACCCATCTAGTTCACAGTGGGTTGCTGAATTAAGGATAAACTCAGCTTTTTGCTGCAGGTTTTACTGTCTGTACTTGAATCCAAGACAACCCTGAAATTAAGACAACCACCCATAGAAAATTTCTTATAATTTTCTATGTATAGAATCTAATTATTGTAGAATAGTTTTAATTTGTTCCCCTTAATACTGTAGGCAGTGGGGGAGACAGGTGATGAGGAGGGCAGTAATGGAGCAGGCAGTGGAGGGAACAGTGGTAGACAGGCAGTAGGGAGGCAGGTAGTGTAGAGGTGGGACAGACAGTGTGGGCGGCATGCAGCTTTCTCCCTGACACCTGTCTCTCCCCCTACTTACCCTCCCTTGTGCTTGCCCCCCACAACCTCAGACCCCTGTCCCCTCTTCCTCACCCTGCACTTCTGCCCCCCCCCACCTCTTTGGACTCCTGCCAGCCCTTCCCTCCTCCCCCACAAAGTCTTTACCCCTGCCTGCCCCTTCACCTCCCATTTACCTTAGCTCAAGTGCTGGCAGGTTCCATCCCTGTTGCAGCCTGGGGCACTGAGCATTGTCCTACACCAGACCTGTAGCAGTGGCATGTAACTGTGTAACTGGCCCTGCAGCAGCAGTGCTGGTCTGAGGCCATGCTCTGTGCTTCAGGCTACAGCAGGGAGACCCTCCAAGCATTGGAGGAAAGGTAAAGGGGAGTGTGGTGGGGTGGACTGGTGAGAGAAGTGGCAGTGGGAGGTGTGAAGACCGGGTGCAGTAGGGGACCAAGGTTGCAGGGAAGAATTGGTCGGGTGAGCACAGGGTGTGGGCAGCAGGCAGCAGCTGCAGCTCCAGTCCCAACACA